TAAATAGCTACTTTAGACAAAACAGATACACACATATACACACAGGCATATGCTTTGTTATAGGAAGGAAACAGAGTTTGTTTTTATTAACAATGTCGTAAGCTCAGCAACAGCATTTAGGTGCTTTGGAGATTTGTGCAACATTTGTCTCCAGGAATTGCAAAAGAAAAAAGAGATAGGAACAGGTGGTTGATCAGTGTCGTTAATTATTCAAATTTAACACATCCGGAGCGCTTGGTTATCCTATTGTTCCTAATTTATTTTCAAGGTGTATTGAAGGAATTGGATTGTAGAACTTAGAAATCTTTTAGTCACACAGGTTGTTGCCATCAGGTAACATGATGTGTCATTTGTGCTTTAAGTAACAGATTGGTGCAGCATGTCTATTAAAAAAAGAGAAGATGCTGGTGGATGGAGAGAGGATCATGATTGACATTATGTGATTGATGTAAGAACAATAAGAGGAAAAGGGAGGAAGAAAAAGGAGAAAGTCATCTGCGAAAAGTGACTGTGCTTACAGTGATTGAGTTGGTCAGTGTGAACCAGACAGAGGAAACAATAGACAGACACAAATCAAACAAAAGAGAAAGACACGGGCATAATAGCGGATGGGTAGGGGGCAGATAAAAAGAACAAGTGAAGTGTGAGTGGTGAAGTGCTACAGAGAGGAGAGGACGAAGAATCCTCAGATGCATGCCTACACCCCGCCATGATCAGAGTATGCACTGGATGATTTATTTTCCCGCTCCAATATTGAGTTCCTGGGAGAGAAATCTACATTCCATTAAACTACTGAGGGTTTTATTTTGAAAGGAGAGAGTGATTGTGGATGTGTAGGGGGTAAAGGCATGGCCATTAGATTTGGCAATCAGGAAATGAACCCTCCCAAGCTTTTTTCCCCCCCTTCTTTGATTACTGAACTATTCTCTTTTAACCTTTCTATAAGGAATGTAATAATAACACACATGCAATTAATATAAAAAAAATACTACCTAAAAAGAGACACAATCTATCTTTCTAAAATATGTCAACTTAGTCTTTCCAATGTCATATTTTAACATTAAAGTGCACTACTTTGCATGTTTGAAAAATACTGTATCAGAGGCTCAATAGATATTTGGATCATTTTTCACTTCAAGTCTTATTGAAAACCAAACACATGGAAAGGTTGTATTATTTCCACATTGGCTTCACAACATTTTCATTTTTTGGAATTCAACGTAATGTTTGTAACTCTGGCCTTGAACCTCCACACAGTAAACATGATGACATACAGTATGAACCAGTGTGTTTGTGTTTGTGTTTGTGTTTGTGTTTGTGTGTGTGTGTGTCAAAACAGACAGCAAAATGACAAATTGTTGAAATGAAGAATGAGAGGAGTAATGATGGAACAATAATGCCACATGTGTACTGTAGCCCGTCTGTGCATGTGCGTTACCATGTGTGTGTGTGTGTGTGTGTGTGTGTGTGTGTGTGTGTGTGTATGTGTGTGGTGATGAATCTCTCATTGTGACAGTGGGGCCGGCAGCAGCAAATGTCCTTCTGGGTGGGACACACTCACACACACCCACATGCAGAGACACGCATACACAGATGGAAACGACCACACTAATGGATCACCCCTGTCTGCACGCAATCCGCCACAAATAATGATGAACCACCCCGGCATTAAACTATTTTACACAATGCTCAATTCATTACTTCTCTGCCTCTCTTTCCTTCTCTCTCTCCCCCCCTCTCTGCCTCTCTCTAGGTATAGGTGAGCTAATAAAGGTATGATATTTCTCCTCTACTGGCACAATCATAGTTTTTATCCATTAGTAGGATATTAGGATGGGGAATGAGTAAAAGTTGGAAGGGAGGGGGTGGAGAAGGAGATGACTTCAAATTGGTTTAAAAGCATTACCACTGTAAAAAGTAACAGCAGCCCCCGGTAGAAAATATGAAGGGGCAATTTTCATGGTTAGCTAACAAGAACAAGGCCAACGTGGGCCTTTTCAGGCCCTGCAATTGATCTTTGGAGTGATGGTCCAAAAGTACTTTTTCTATAGTTATTTTTATTGGGTCACAAAATTGACATACGATTGACCAAGGCATTGATATTTACAGGACAACCACCATATGTGATATTGGAATTTAAGTGATGCTAATGGAAAATATTTTCTTTATTTTTTTTTTAAATCTGTTTTTAATCACAAATCAGAAACAGGCTCCATTTCCATTTTTATAAACTGAATTTACTTATTCAATTTTAACTATTCATTTTCACTTAAAATCCCTACCAATCAATGACACAACTCAACACATTAACTTTTTTTTAATGTGCTGTCTCAGGAAATATAGTGACCATATAATTGCACAACAACATATTGGATGTTACCTGATAAAGTCTATCAGGCTGTCAGAAAAAAAATGATGATAAAGAATGACCGAGGACAGCTAATAGATTCCCCTTTTTTGTCAAAAAATCTCTTCTCAAGCTTCACTTTGCTCAGTGTGCGAGAGAAAAGAAGAAAGAGTCATTATGGATTTCAATTAAGTGATCCCTGGGCAGAGAGGGATGCGTCAGAGTGGGGAATTAATGTGCTGCAGACAGATGTTTAATAATAATGGCCGAACTGGTCCTGCAGAGAAACACACATTCCATCCACAGCACCCTACTGTGGCTGCAGAAACACACATGCACAGACACACACACACCCACACAGGCCCACATACACAGACACTCACATATAATCACTCATACACCGACACGCACAATAATGATTCATACACACGCACTGTGCAGAGCAATGCCTGACAGTCACACACACACAAACACACACACACACACAACACACACACACACACACACACACACACACACACACACACACACACACACACACACACACACACACACACACACACACACACACACACTGATTCACCCATAGACACTGGTATCTCGACTGGCATGCGTGTGTGCGTCTCTTTATGACCAGTGCTGGCCACAGCGCATATGGCCCTCATTTAGGAACAATGGGCATGGAGAATGACTGGTTGGATGAGCTTCCTGACTGTGAGAGGTGACTGGAGGCATGTTAAATGACATGCCCCGTATGGAGAGATGGAGTGAGAGACAGAAAGAAAGAAAGAGAGGGAGAGAGGGGGGGATACATGAGTAATCCCGGATGAGGGATTATTGCGTCACTGAGCAACAAGAATGTTTTGATTGAGAAAAGAAGAGCGACAGAGGTAGAAGATATCCAAAGAGATGCAGGGGTGAAACTTGATGGAAGAGTGTGATATAACAGTAGAGGGACATGGACAAGATGATGCTCCAAAGTGGGTCATTAGACAGTGTGTAAACAACATGTCCTTTTATGAAGTGCTCTCACTCACCTTTTCTTGTTCTTCTCTCACAGATACACTTCTGGTGACACCTAATCAGTGTTTGGCAGGATGAATGGCTTCCAGCCGTCCTTACAGCCTTTTCTGAAACAACAGACACTTTGGTAAAAATCTCTCGGCCTCTCTCACTCACATAGACAGTTCATACCATCTTGTCACAACAACATTTCTCCTGTAATTACTAGGGTGGCCGCCCTCCTGCCGTCCCTCGATGGATGAGCTGAGCCGCCATGGTTCGCCCCTCCAGCCATAACTCTACCTACGACGTCTGTCTTCTGCTCTTCACCACTGCGGAGGCCCTCACGCAGCAAATTGGCCTGAGAGAAAGACAGAGGGACAGAAAAAGACACTTAGACAAGCACAGTGTCCATCTCAGGGAGAGGCAAGTACATAGACATGAAAGAGCCTAGAGACAGATCCACACACACATTAATTCACTTTTTCTGTTTGTCGTTTTCCCGTCTCTGATGAGTTATTTATTATACAGACAGTCTCTTCTTGTGACCATTGGCCAGACAGATATCTTTCCTCACACAGATACACACATGCACACAGACGCTTACACTCCTTGATGAGGTGATCATTTTGACAGGGGCATGTGGCTGAAGAAGAGTGGAGAATTGAAGAGGGGGCTAAATAAGGAAGGTGGAATCAGGAGAAATAAACTGATAACTGGATGATGAGGGGTGATAACGTCAGAAAAGGAGGGAAATGGATGGGAGGATGGAAGGAAAATGGAGGCAGCTGGAAGATCAATAAGCTACTCAGATCCACAATCTGCATCCAGAGAGCAGAGATTTCTTCAAATGTATTTCTCCCATATTTCAACTCTATTTCTGCTTCAAAGAAGGTGGAGGAAAAAGCAGAGGAAATAGGCTACATAAGATGTTAGGCCTCTGATGCATTTCTTTAGGTCAAGCAGAAGTAGTAGGCCTACAGTGTTTTCAATAATAATACAGAAAGCTTTATACGTTTTAATTACATGGATTAAATGGATTTAAACAGTGTAGTAAATCACAAGTGTTTGTTTGTCTAATTCTGTAGCCTAATTAAACCCCTTCAAAAACTATGTCATGCCATTTCAACCTCTGTTTAAAAGGATCGTCTATTAGGCATGGATACAAAAGTAGCCTATACGATAAAATATAGGAGGGACTTTGTGTTATAACAATCAGAAGCCCACCTCAAAAGATAATCCAAACTCATGTATTTTAAAAAACTGGAGAGCTAACAACTGTTTGAGGGATCAACACTTAATATTTAAAGTCTATGGATGAACAGCAAATGCTAGTGTTAGCTCTGGGTTTAACAGATTAAACTAACAAAAAAGCAAATGAGGTGCAAGTGAGCACTTCATGTGTGCCAAGTTACGTAAAATAAGCAGATGCCTTAAATCTCGAAGGAAATCTGGACAAATATAGGCTAATACAAATATACAAATATAATAAATATATAGGCACTTACACAAGCTGATATTTCTGAAGGATTCTGCTTTGCCACTGCTAAATTAAAGTTTGATTTTTTTTTCTCTGGAAATTTCCAATTTTCTCGATGACTTGAACGCATCACCACCACCTGAGAAGACTTGTTGTCAAGACAACAGGTAAACTGTGGCTAAGTAAACATGGCGGAACTGTTAAGAATTGAAAGTGAAGTTGAACAGTTCAAGACGGAACTCTTGTACAGACACAGGTATGGGTCATACTAAATGTTTGACTACGTTTTATACACTACTAAAAGACCGCTGTGTCGTGGTAACTCAAAGCCAAACGGTCACTAATTAAACTAGCTGGCAGCATGATGTTAGCGAAGTTTACGCCAGCAGCAAGCTTTGCTCTAAATGCATTTTTTTAAATTCCAGGGTAGAGCAGTACAGCTGAAAATATGGGGTTTAGTTACCCTTTAACCTAAATAGAGAACTGCCACTGAACGCAAATTGTTTCTGTTTACCATATTCAGTTTTATACAGCTTTATATCTTCACATAGGGCCTACACATATTTAGTTTGTGACGTCATGGATATTAATAAAATAAAGCTGAAGTTACAGATCCCTGCTCTTTCAAGTGTCTGTGTCCCTTAGGCAAGCAGAGGAGAACAGGCTGAGGGAGAACCAGGCCGCCATCCAGATTCAGAGCTGGGTCAGAGCCTGCAAGGTGCGGGCTTATCTCAGGTATGACGTGTGTATGTCATGTCCTTGATTTTCCTTTGTGAATCTGCAAAGAAGAATATAGTTGTTGGTAACCCTTCACATGTCATAGACAAGACTTCATATTCCATATACAAATAAATGTGAGGTTTGCTTTTTCCTTCAGGGGTTGAAAAACATTCGGACAGGTCTCTGAAGAGTTAATTTCAAGGGAAACCCTGATACTAGCTCACTCTCATAATTATCCCACTTTTAGAGCTTTGCAAATGGCCTTGAGGAATAAATGTCGCTTGCACTCTGTGCTCCTTTCACACACACAGAAATAAATGTCTTTATCTCTGTGCTTTTTCCTGTACTGTGACCCCAGCACCATTCTGCAGGGTCAGCAGACAAACTTCCAGACAGTAGGTTAATTCAGATTACTTTAGTTAATTGATCAATGCGTTAAGTGGATAATTAGCAACAATTTTAGCTGCCTAAGTGCAACTCCGGGGTTGTGCTTTCCCCACTATAAGCATTGATTTTCTGGGCATATGAATGGCCTTTTGGAAATTGATGGCCTCGTTGGAGGCAGAGAATCGCAGTGGACTTGCATTTAGAGTATGTTAGAAGATGAATACAAATGTGTGCCGCCTACTAAAGCAGGTGAAAGGCTCATCAGACATGATCGAAAAGCCAGGAGAAGCAGAAATGTTCTGTGTGTGTGTTTATGAGACTGTGTGTTTGTAATGTTTCCCTGACCATTTAATGGAAGTCCTTTACAAACTTAAATTTGTATACAGAAAACAAACCACCTCTTTTATTATTGTTTTTCAAAAACAGATCATAGTTTATTAAAGCTGTTTCGACTTTGAGGTAATTGAGGGATGTGATTATATTGCATTGCAGGCAGAAATTAAATAATGTTTTGTTTTAGTGTTTTTGCAATTGTAGCTTAATAATATTTCATAAAGGTTTTATTTATCTTGCTCTTAAGGATTAGGATGTTTTCCTTTTACTAAATTGGATCATTTCTAAGCATAAAAGGACTAAAATCAAACAATGAAATTTGCAAATTATTTACCATTCCATGTGTATCTGAATATCTTTTTCAGTGTTTTATTTTAACAAGTAAGCATTTAACATGCTTATTTTTTTTTACAGCCATCTGCACAAGAAGGCAATCATTATTCAGAAGATATGGCGGGGCTTCACAGCAAGGGCACATTTCAGACAAATGGTGAAGGTAAGCCAGCGCCTGGAACAGCTATAGATGTATTGATTATGTTATGATAGCATGCATTAGAATTCAATTGCTATATTCCTAAGTCCTGTGTCTGACCTTAAGAGATATAATTCACTCATTACGAATTGGGAAATTAGCACTTAGGAAATATGATGCTATATGATAAGGAATTCCATCTACAGTATATCACAACTCCTGGGATGTATGTTGAAAGAACAAGGGGAGGAATAGAGAGAAGGAAAGGCTTGAGGAGTGCATGTGCACTATGTGTGTGTGGTGTGTGTGTTTATATGTATTTGCTTTTGTAAAACAAGGCCCCATTTTCAGCATATTGCCTCCAACTGCTTCTTAATTGAACAGATTGTTGATACCGGATCCAATACCCAGCGCTCTCACGTATAATTTTCCCCTGGATTGAGTTTTGTAAACGTATCACAACAAGCTATTTATCATGCCTGTAAATTGACTGTTTGCTAAAGCATAACTGCCAGCCGCCGTTTGGGAGGCGTTCAAGAAATGGAAAAGGGGGGTGGGTGGTGAGGGTGGGGTTGAGGGGTGTTGAAATAAATGATGAAGGATGTGTCACAACACACATATGGGCTAAAAAGAGGCTGTTTGTCTCATTTGGAAACAGACGAGTGCTAATTTGAATCACTCAAAATTGCCACTGTGAACTATTTTGAATTAGCCCAGAGAGATTTTATTCTTCCCCGATGGCTCTCTCTCTCTCTTTCTCTCTGTCTATCTCTCTCTCTCGCCCTCTCTCTCTCTCTCTCTCTCTGTGCCTGTCTTCTTCTCTCCAACTTTTGCAGGCCTTATCCTGTGTAATGTGACATGCATGAAGCCTCATCTCAAAACATCAAGCTGAATTTACAACCTCCTTTCAAGCCTTTGTCTTCCTTCCCCTTCCTCTGCTCCCTCTCTTCCCTGTCGTTATTAAAAAAGACGTGTTGCGATATGAATCCTTTTTATGACCGACTCTCCAGTTCGCTCCTGAAATGTGCCCCCAGTGGTCACAGGCACGTTACTGTAGGTGTGTGATGGCTCGTCGAGCACGCTGCTGAATATTCTCTGGCCTTTTGTTTGTCACTGCTGGCAGTGCTGTCATTGATTATGAAATCCAGAGGAGAGCGTTTGGCCGTCATACATCTCCATTAGCTCACTGCTTGACTACCATAGATTTTCTTGGCCCTTGTCTGTGTTGGTGTATTAAGAGAGTCCCATCCTCCACTTGATACAAAGTCCTGCTAACCGCTCTCCCTCTCTCTCTCCCTCTCCCTCTCTCTCTCTCTGTCTTTCTTTCACTCTTTTCCTTTCTCTCTCCCATCTCTCCATCCACTCACTTTTTCTCTTCTTCCCCTCATCTCTCTTGCTTTCCCTATCTCCCTTTCCGACTCCCTCCCTCCCCTCCTCAGTGGCCCTATCTTCGCTGCCTCTGTGCAATGTATTATGTATAAAGAGCTCTTTATCTTTGACGCCTGCTGTGGACAGATCAGAGAGCCGGGAGACAAGATGTAACGCCATCTTTTCCTTTGTGTTCACAGGAGGCATATTTTATCATGAAGATGAATTTCTACGAGGAGATGGCGGTCAGGGTAAATATCACCACAGTGTCTTGTTTTAGCAAATAGAGTGTCGTGGTGGGGGACTCTCTGTTTCTCTGTGTGTGCTTTGAATGGGAGGCCCCAAGAAAAGCAGCCCGCAAGCCCTTAATCAGATTGCCACATTGCAAAAATTGTCCATTGGCCAAGCACTCTTTAAAAAATGTCAAACTAAATTTAGCCTGTTTCTTTTTCAAAGTTGATATTCCGCTTCTTCTTCACACATCACATAATGGGCACAGAAAACATTGTCCTTCTTTCTTACATTCCCTTAAATATCATTCTATATTTGCAAATGATTTGGTAAAAGGTCTGCTCAATAAAGTGACTATTGAAGCAAAATTTGTTTTATTTTTTCAACTTGTCCTCAGTGCTAATGCATTTCAAATGCTCCCTTTATTCTCTCAGCAGCTACTTCTGTTCAACCTATAAATCATACCATTCTTGCTCTGACTGATGTTTTGGCACTTTTACACAAGGATGTCGCACAGAAACCTTATATTTTTATAATTCCATAAAGCCTTTTCTTTTGGCTTACAGTTTCATTCTGTCTAAACCATTAAAAGGGTTTATTGGCCTACAAAAAAATCCACTAGTGTTTATTGAAGTGGCGGTATCGCTGTCCAGGTCGAGTAAGATGGTTAAAATATTTTCATATTAGTCGAAAAGCCTGGATATTGAAGGCTTCAAATTTAACACTTAATAGAAACCAAAACATATAAAGCTGCCCACCCTGTCATTTCAATAAATGTCACATTATGGGAGAGACATAGATCTAGGAGTGGTGTTTGACCCAGCTGTTTTAGGTCATGGGGGGAAAGGTTAGTGGTAAAGTAACCATATGGAAGGGAGAAGTAGCCTCTGAAGTTATAGAAAAGAGGCCTTTTATTACCACCATAAAAACACAGTTTCCTAAAGGAAGCAATAGGAATTTTAATGGAAGAAATATATGTGAAAAGAGTGGCCGAACAGCTCATTGTAAGCATGGTGCTGGATTTAAACCCAAATAGGGTCAAATAGCGCTTTCTGTGAACACTGTGTGTTTGTCTAGGTTTTCTTTGCTCCAATTTTCTCCAAACACAAAACACAGACAAAGTTTTTAAAATCACACATTCCACTACTTTTGAGAAGCTTTGGCTCAGTCAACAGGGTTTGTCTGCTTTGTGTACTCCTCTGATCCAAAACACATAACAAGGGGACACGCGCAGATGCAGTTTGTTAATAAGTGAAACTTTATAAATCAAGGGGTTAAAACTTCAAGGTCATCTGTACTCAGAGGCCATCTTTAACCAAAGAAATATCCAATGCGTAACTAAAGAAACAGAGTAGAAGAGATAAAAGGAGACACAATCATCTCAGAATCCCCTTGTGACACTTCCTTTGAATCAATTTTGATTCCTTCTTTTTTCTCTCCCCTCCTGTTGTCTTCATCACGGCGTGGTAGCTAACAGAGGATAATGTATTAGGGCCGTAATAGAAACCAGTGTTTACATGCCGCACCTCGGATTTGTATTAGATTCAACAGCATCGATTTCACTAGTCAACAAAGGTCAGCAAGAACTCGGGAGGCGGCAATTACTTTATTTAAAATTATCTATTGACTGGCAGATCAATGCTAATTCTCATTTTGCTCTTTGTTGTTTTTCCCCATCCTCCACTTCACCTCTTCTCTCCTCTCCCCTCTTCTCATAGTGTGATTATTCTTTTACCTGCCATCGTTTTAATCTCCTAATTAGTCTGAAGGACATCCGCCCCCTTGCTTTAAAATGGTCCAATGGCATGTGTGGGGTTGTGTGTGTTACATCTGCAGCCTCTATAATAAATGTAGACTGATACAGTTAAACGTATGAGGCTGACACAGCTGGCGTCCCTCTCTGGGATTGTCCCTCCATTACTAATAGGGGTGAAAAATGCATAAATTGTTGTGTATATGTTAAATCTGTTCTCTGCAAGTTTAAGAAATAAGAAGATGCATTTGCAAGACTGTACGTAGATAGCCAATTCAACAGCACATAATAATGTCTTTGTTCCTGTGTTTTACTAAGATGGTTTTGTGTTACTTCAATTCAATTCAATTCAAACAACTTTATTGATCCCTCTTTGTGCAATTGGTGTGGAGCAGCCCGTACACATATCAAAGACAAGTTGACGCACAAACAACAGATCACACAAGGAGTTAAACATAGATAGGACTGATTTATTTATTTCTGTCTGTGAAGGAAAACCTACACATTGTTCTTAGTCATTGAAATAATTTCTTTGTTCAATATTTTCTGTCATTAGAGCAACAAACGTGCCCACTCCCACTTTTCCTCAAGTTGTTGGCAAACTTCTGAAAGCAACCTGTGTTTGCTTTAATCCCTCACAGATCCAGCGCAGATGGAGAGGATTCTTTGCAAGGAAGTTTATTCATAATTTCTATGCACGCAAGCGCTATCTGGAAGGAGTTGCTGCTAACAATGAACTTGTCAGGTAAAAAAGAAGTGGTGCTGTTATATTTGCTGTACAAGGGTGCAGGCAGTTTCCCATTAGTGCACTTTAATTATTGTCTGCTTTTTTTAGTTTAATTTGCTAAAACTTTTTTAGCCAGGTCAGTCGTTTTATTTATATTTCTCATCCAAACAGTACACTGTTCTTCAAGTGTTACTCAGATGGTGTGTGTGTGTGTGTGTGTGTGTGTGTGTGTGTGTGTGTGTGTGTGTGTGTGTGTGTGTTGTGTGTGTGTGTGTGTGTGTGTGTGTGTGTGTGTGTGTGTGTGTGTGTGTGTGTGTGTGTGTGTGTGTGTGTGGTGTGTGTGTCGCTTTGGATAAAAGCGTCCACAGATAGGTTAGGGACAATGAACAAGCGAAGGAATTTAAGAGACTGAAAAAGAGAGAGAGAGAGAGAGAGAGAGAGAAGTCCTCCTAAAGTGCCCAGGGCTAGGAAAGAGAGTAACAGAAGTGAAGGATGTGAAGAAATTAAAAATTAGCCTCTGATTTGAACCGCAGCTTTTGCATTAATAAAACATCCTGTGCTCCAGGGCTTACTGCTAGAGATACACCATCTTTTATTTTTGACAAAAAAAAAACCATCACGTTTAGCTAATAGTCACATTTTTAATGTTGCTAATATATTTTACCGGAAAATATCTTTAGGCTTCTGCTAAAATTAAATGTAAATTTGTTAAAGTGCTCCTTGGATCACTGACTCCCCCCCCCCTCACTTCCCCACCAGCGTTCCACCTTTCCACCACACTCTTTGCCCCTTTTAGAGGTGTGAGACACTAGGCTGTAAAAGTCCATTAAGGAAGTGTTTTCACTTCAGTAAAATAACTAACAAAGGCGACACAGTACACTCACAAAACTCTGTTAAGTAGTCTGATACTATACCTGAGTTAAAATATATCAAACTGCTTTTCACACTTTATTTTCCCATTCGGCCCATCTAAACAGGAAACAGTCAAAGCTTCTATAAAAAAATAAAGTTGTGCATATTTCAAAAAATTATAATTTTGACAAAAATGAATGTTATTAGCATTTGCAGGGGTCAGGCTGAAGATATGGTTTGAATGTGTAGTTAGATTCAAAGTTTAACAGATTATCATGGATTAAAATGTTATTTTGAGTAGGTTGCACTACACCTTACACACTACACAATTTAGCTCATTAATTTAAAAGATTTTGGGTCGAGAAAAATAAATGTTTAATATAGCCCTATTTTCACACACTTTTTCTAATTTACATTCAAATGATACATAATTCATACAAATAAAATACTCATATTTTCACAACAATTAACAACAAAGAGCAAAGCTTTAACGAATAAGGGAAATATGGTTGTAAATAATCTTAAAAATAACTATAACTTAAGAAACACTAGATTCTATGTTATATCACCAGTTTGGCTTTGTTGTTTTGGTATCTGCTGTTTCCCCCCCACCCACCCATGCACTCACACACACAACCCAAACACACACACATACACACATCCTCTCTTCCACAGCGGTTTAGGGTGCTGAGGTCACTTTCTCTCCAGTTAATCACATGTTTATTTAGTGCTGCTGGGGTCACAATCAATTAACGCCATGCCGGCATTTATTTAAAATATCCTTTCTGTGTTAGCCGCTGAGCCCTCGGATGGCTCGCTACCTGATCACTCATCCCATAAAGGTCCACTTTTTAATCCGCCTGCTTCCTCTCTCTTGTAGGGCGCCCTTTCTGTCTGTCCAAACCCCTGCATAAATTATTCAAAGTTGGACTAATGGTCCCCATTTAATGCACGCTGATCGGCTGTGCATAGTAATGATATAGCAGTATTACATAGACTGCCGAACCTCTCTCTCTCTTTCTGACTCTGTTTCATTCTCTCTCTCTCTCTTGACAGATCTCCCCTTCACAAAACCATCTGTGTCATTTCATTAGGTACAGCACACCGCTAATACATGCTACGTATACTACCCTCCGCTATCCCCTGCCCTCACTATGCCTTCCTCCTGCTTTTCTTCTTTCCTTTCCTCTCCTCTCTTGTTCTCTTTCTCTATTCCTTTCCTCCAAAGCCTTCCTTCTCTATGTCACCCGTTTGCTGTGCTTCGGCGTCATCCTCATTCATTTTTTCTCTCCTGCATACCCTAATGAAGTCAGGACCCCGTCGCAGTCCCCACTCTGCCACAGTTTTCCTTGATACCCCAACAATTTATCACTTTGTCAGGGAGACACTTTAAGTTCCCGGGCTTTAATAAGGGCATGCAGTGGGACGATAGGGGCAATTAGGAAAGCGGAGCAGCCCGCTTTGCATATATTCTAAATGTGCTTGTGTCATCGCCGCCGCCACCAACACGGCCTGTTGACTGCATGAATAATTCCTCTATCTGCAATAAACAGCTGGGTAATTATTACCACCATAATCAGATAAATAATTCTCCCTGTGATGCTGCAACAACATGGAAAAATCTTTTTGAACTCATCCGCTGGAGAACAAGGGAGAATTTATGTACTTGGTGTTGCTAGGCTGAGCAGCAAAAGTGTTTTGTTTTTTTATTCTTCTCTACTGGTGCTGTGCTGTGTCTCTTTCTCTCTCTACTTTTTTCCTGTCTCTCTTTACTCCAGCCTTCTTCATTCCTCCCCCTTTTGTGTCCCTCTCAAGGACATTCATGAAAGGAGAGCTGCTATAGTGGAGAGAGTGTTGGAATGCCTGCAAGCCTGCCCTGCGATCACTCCCCGCTTCTATGCGTCAGTCTTTCTTTTGCTGTTCTTTCTTTCTGATCCAGTTTGGTGTGAGAAAGGTTCACTCCTTCAGTCTGATTGGATTTCCTTATACTGTTTATACGTGAGTGTGTTTGTGTGTGTGTGCCTGTGTGCACATGCGTGTGTATTGTGCTCTTCACTTCTTTGGGGAAAAAAAACTTTTAAGAGTAAAACAATGGAGAAAAATATGTAAAATGTCGAATGTTTTTCATTTTTTTTTCTCTTTTTAAATATTTAGAATATTAATAGGAGATAGTTTTCATTATGGAAACATCTGTGCCGAGTCTTTTGGTGGCATGAAATGTACTTCTTCAGTGAATTAGTAAATCTATCATTCAGTCTCTTATGAGGTTGTTGGAAGTTCAATACATTGAGTTGGTCACTGGCTAAATTGATCGGCTGACTACCACCTCCTTGCCAGCTATTGAATCATTTAATTGGAGCAATTAAAACAGCCAATCAGGTCAAGCCTCCATTAAATATTTAGAACCTGGCCAATTAGCTGCTCGGGTACTGGCCTGGACGACCGCAGATGTGGCCTGCCATCCCACAATGCCTCCCTCTCTGATATCCTATCAGCCTGTTACAGCCCATCGTGATCCAAGGGGTAAATAATTGAGGGAGAACTGAGAAACGTAGCTGTACTATATTAGACATTTAAATAAATTAACACTTCAGGGTTCAGATGTCACTTAGAGTTTCAGTGATTTGAAAGTAGTTCAGGGATGCCTGATTTGCCTTTCCAACAGTTCAACAGACGTCAGAAGTAATCTGCGGTCAGTGATTCCTACTGAATTAAATGTAATACTCAGTGCATCCGATGATTTTTTTTTTTTAAGTGCAAACAGTAAAGAACTAAGTCTTTTTTGATAGAATAAAGATTACTACACCTGTAATTTGTATAAAATAGAAAACCCAGCATGATTAAACATTCTGGGTCCATAAGAATATTAAATGTAATGTGCTGACATGATAATGAAATTAAAGCACATTTGTAGTCACACGCTTATTGTGTCTTAAATTGAATGACCTTCCAGTGGAATTATATATAAGCTCTAAATATATTTCCAGTAACCAGAACACATTAAAACATAGGTTTAACAATAATCAGCTGCCCATATATACACTGAAACAGGTTTGCTTGGCATAATTATTCCTTCTGTTCATATGGCCATGAAGAGATCACCTCCTAATACACTTCCCATGTAAAGGATCAGGAGAAAAATCTGCAGTTCTTACACTTTCAAAAATGTGATGTTAATTCATTTCCACTGTTACTATTCTTCCAGTGTAGCTGGAAAAACTATTCATTGAAACACAAAGAAAGTATTGATGATAACTATTTGGTTTGTCTTACACCTGTCTTATACCAATGAACACTCACCCTGCCATGAGATTAAATGAACTGTAAAGGCTACATTAGCATCACATATTCATTTTGTACAATAAGAAAAAAAGTTTTAAATTAAGGGCAGTGTAAGAGTGAAGTGGTAATTTTTAAATAATGTTTCCACTGATAATATACATACAGTCACATTTATAATTTGCTTTCTCACCTTTGTCAACCTTTCCCACCACTTTATCAATTAAAGCAATACAGCCAGCCATCCAGTGAAATTTCTTTCTTCTCATTACATTCATCATTAATAAATATATAAAAGGGTTTTAGCATAAATTGTTTTGCACTTACATTGTATATTTTGAGGACATAATTATGTTTATTTTCAGCATGAAGACTTCTGCCTATGCATTAGCGTTTCGACGTTGTGTTTACAGAGTTATAAGCCTTTGTTCACCACACTGTTTATTTCTTTTTTTTTGTCTTGCTTCCCTCTTGATTTCTTTTACTTTCACTCAGTCAAACGTGCACGCACACACAGACGCACACGCATGGGGCAAGTGCTGCGTGCAGAACAGGGCTAATGAGGGTTGTATGTTGTGGCGGCTGGTTGGGTCGACACAGATCGAGGTGCCTTCAGCCGTTACAAATCTGTTTGGCTTTTGTCCACTACACAGCAATTAATAACACTGGGGCTGGGGGCAGGGAAGCAAAGGTCACCCATTCAGCCTGACACACACTTCCACACACATACACACATATGGACACACACAGAAATAATTTGTGATCAAGTAGTATGAACATTTATACACACACATTAATAGTCCTTATCTAAGTGCAGACACACATAGAAACATAGACAGAACCGGTCTGGACCCCCTGAAAACATACGCAAACTATTTAAATGCATAAAGGTAAATACACGCATATACTACAAACGCTCATGCACCACTGTGGTCGTGAACCATGACTGTCCCACAATAAACCAAAACTTTATATTTTACATTAATAAGTAATATCCCTGTCAGCCATTTGGACAAATAGGGGCCAAGCAACCTTTATATTAACATATACACACATACACACAGTTCTAAATTACTCTGCTTAATAACATAACATAAACACAACACACACCCTCACAGTCAAACACACACACACACACACACACACACACACACACAGTGCTCTGCATATTTCATTTATTTTGTAATTTAATCTGGTGCAGAGGAGAAATGAGAATGCAAAGGCAATGGGAGCGGATGTTGTGATTTCTTTTTAAATGTCAGTAGCTGCAGAATGTGTTAACCTCACATAATAGACACACTATGAATATTCTGATTCCTCTGTGGAGGTTTGTAATTGGAAACAGAAGTTGGGAAGAGAAGGAGACATTAAAGAAGGAGCCAAAGAGAAGGGATTAAAAAAAAGAAAAGCAAAAGATTGTTGCTGGGGTACGGCTTTTACTCTTAGGTGTGAGTGTGTGTGTATGTCTGTGTGTGTGAATTTTCCCATCACCATTGCATGTGTTTTCGTAATTGTATCCAAATTTCCTTTTTAAGTTATTACCCCCTTGTAACAATAAGGCTGTGTGATTGCTGAATGAAATTGCTGTGTATGGGCTTTTAATGCATCCCATTTAGCCGGCTCCGCTTAACAGATGTCACAGACGGACCTGTCCTGACTGCGTTGATGAAATATATCCATCATCCTCCCACTTGGAGCCTTTTGCGCTCTAACTAGGCTTTTTTTTCCCCCCTGCCCAAGCCGTCTCACTCTCTTGTTTTTCTCTCACAGCACCAGTGTCGTTGCTCTCTCTTATTCTGCTTTTTATGCCCAGCCAAAAGACACTTAAGGTCGTTTCAGCTCTTCAACAGTGTTACAAATAAACAATAACATGTGCACACATTTATTTGCATGAAGTTTACATTGTGGTGAGATTTTTTTAATTGAAAGTCATTACATGCAATGTAAGCTGAACCTTCTGATAATGTAAAAACTAGGTGTGATAGCATCAAAACATTGTCTTCATATAACTGTTGTTGCAGCCTGATGTAGAGTGATTTTATTGATATAAAGTAACATAATAAATAAACTAAATAAACTTTACATTTCATTAGTGTTTTTTGTGTGGTGTGTGTGTCCTGTAGGAGAGAGATGGATGAAATCGAAGAACTTCAGAAGAGAGAGAGAGACTGTCTGAAGATGGTGAGAGAGCAGACAGCAAAGGTCTACCAGGCATACCGGTCACACCACCTCCTCAGTACAAAACAGGTCTGTCTACATGAACATACACACACACACAGAATTAAAAACATTTGACAAGGAAGGTGTAACAATTGGAAAAATGTTGATGTTCTAAGTTGGGATTCTCATTTTAAAAGTTAAAAAGACCCAAAAATGGTTTAGAAAGAGTGTTTTATGTTAGCATTTATATGAGGCTCCATTCAAGGCAAGTTTTTTTTGTTGAATCAGAAAGCAGAAAACAAACTCAAGCTATAACAGCAATCAGCATCATATGACAAGATACCATATAATGTTGGACTGTGTCAAAACAAATAAGGGTGGCAGCATCTCGTGGATGTTTTCAGCTTGCTGTGTTGTCTAGTCATGCTGCAGTGGAAAGCAGTCACAGTTAGTGATTGCAGCAGCAGAAAAGTGGTCTCTGATATGAAGAAGTGGACACTCAGTAGTACTTGGGCGATAAGATGATTCAAGCTTTTGCCTGAACATTGCCTACTTTTTTAATCTTTCTGAAAAATGCTTTTCAATGTCAATTGGAAGTTTAAAAAAAATGTTGATCATACAATCATTATAATGATAATGCTATTATGTGATTTTCGTGCAAATGTTGTCTATTTAATATTCAGATTAACCGTGGCAAATACTGCAAAAAAAACCAAAAACAACACTTTTTAAAAAAAGTTAAAAAGAGAACAACTTGTGGTTGAAATGTGTCAACTCACCATAAATATTGGAAATATTTTTTAGTAATAATTAAGTAATAAATACAGCAAGGTGATATCTATAAAATAATTATTCAATAATAAAGTAACTATAAGGCTCCAGTTAAAAAATCCATAGTTTTTCATAAACCCAAAGAGGTATAGTGACTTTAACTAAGGCTGACACACCAGACTCATTACAAACTTTGTCCTAATAAAATTAGCACAACTATACCTTTACACATTCAGTCAAGGCATATGTATGGCCAAAGATGAAGGACTCCCTTTAGCAAAGAGATAAGAGTCACAGAGCGGTGGTTCCCCACAGAGAGTAGTAAAGAAAAGTCTTCTCTATTTCCTTCTTTTGTTAACTCGGGTGGGCTGTGTGGAGTTAAGGTGTGTATGTGCACACATGAGAAAGTAAGTGTCCTCAAGGCTCTACTGATGTGCTGAGCGGAGTATTTTAGTGCTTCCCCTGGCACAGGTGTTCAAGTGAATGTGTGTTGGAGTGTGTGTGTGTTTGTGGCATCCAAGCATCTCTGTGGCTCCCCACTGGGATCATAATGAAGACAAAGTGCAGTGGTCACTGTTGATTCAGCACCACTAGACCCCCCCCCTATTTTTTGTGCCTATGTGTCCAGCTTCGTCATCATCAGACTTAAAACCTATTTTCTGCAGAGTTCCCGTGTTCATCTGAGACATACACGTACACAAAATCATGAAATATATCATCATAACTAAGTGTACTCCTGTTGTCATTTAAAGGGAATGCCATAGTTTTATATTCTCTGACTCTCTAAATCCTCTGAATTAGCCCTATATACTATTTATTTGATTTATACTGTAGGCATATTGGATAATGTGAACAATATGTATATATTATGATTAAACATACAAAGCAATCTGAAAAGTTTGTGTGCTGTTCTCCCCCCTTCTGTCTATCTCACCCCCTCTATGTCTTCTCTCTCTCTTTCTCTGCATATGGCAGGGGATTCTTTCCCTTCGAAGCTCTGACCTTGTCAGCAGTGAATAGATGGCTCTCCCACACAGTTCATCCTTCCTCACTTCTCGGACCCTAGCCCACACACACATACACACACAGCTTTCCAAAAGGCCCCAAGTCCCTATGACAGAGACAGAGATGGTATGTTCCTGGGGTCAACATCATTGCTCTTCCCGTAGCTAGGTTGGTACTTTTGGGCTTGTGTGTGCCTGTTTGTGTGTGCAAGTACATGGGTTGAGTGTGGGTCTTGTCTGTGTGTGTGTGTGTGTGTGTGTGTGTGTGTGTGTGTGTGTGTGTGTGTGTGTGTGTGTGTGTGTCTTTTCGGTAGGATGAGGATGTTGTTTGTGTATGTGTCGTGTGTTCTTAGCCTCCTGTCCCATATTGTTACTTTCAGAGGTAATAAGGAAGCAGGTTGTAAACATTTCTTTGTTTGTGACGTTAGGTCAAGCATTTCTGTTCATCAGCAAACTTACTATTTTACTAAAATGAAGCTGCCATCTTCCAAATTGTGTGACAATTAAGAATTTGTGGAAAACAGAAATCATTTGTGCAGTTCGAGGGTGTCATAACAGCTGTTACACTCGTGTATAATGCACACAATATGCTTGGAGGACGTGTGCTACGATTATCTGCCGCATAAGAGAGCTGAATGTAGATGTGAGGCGCCCTACTATCTTCCTCTCTCTGAAGGTTAAGCAACCCTTCACCTGTGATTAAAAGCTTTAAACCTGATGAAACCACCAAAGCAGCCATATTTGTCTTCCTTTCCATTTGTTAACTGGAGACCTACTGAAGACCACCTGTTACCAGAGAAGTGGCTGGGCTACGAATCCTCAGTAAAAACACAATGGACGACAGGTATATGAGATCGTCTATCTTAGCTTGCTAATGTTTACTCGTATTAGCAGTATTTCTTGTTCTTGGATATTTGTAGAAAGACATGAAATATGATACTTTGATTTACAACTACAATAGGTGATGCTCATAAACTTTTTTGATTGGGTTTATGTACTTTTGAGTCATCTGGGTATGTTGAACATGCTAAAATGTTTGTGGTCTTATGTTTGGCAGATGACATAAACTGTGATACAAAGCATGACCAGACTGTTACACTGTCACTGGCACCGCTGCATAAAGATGCTGAAACCCAGTGGGAGCTTCAAGCACTGATTGAACACTGCTCCAGGGGAAAGGAGATCTGCTATCTGAGAGAAAGATTCATCTCATTTTACCAGCGTTCAGTCAGAGAGGAGGACAGTGGTCTTATGAGGATGTTCCTGGCACATAGAGGATTGCAAATGTTGGCTTACATGTGAACCAAGAGGCTCAAGATGTTTAAGAATAATCTCCATCCCCCTGACACACATGATGGACAAACACCTTAGAATCTGTGCAGCTATTTTAAGCATGCAGGATGAAATCATCTGTGAGGATGCTGATTGAGGATTGTAGTATAAATTATGAAGTGATCCTAATTTGAACTCAACATGTACATTTTAAAATATTTATTTATCTATACTGTTTATAGACAGTTATAGTTTATACCTATGATAAGCCTCATGTGAAATTCTATATTTTAGTTTTAACAGTGCTGTCCGGTGAAAAAGCAGTAAACATGATGATCTCAAGTTTTATACTTAACGGCTCTTGTTATTGAGAGATATGCTACTCACACACAAGAACTTTTCACATGCATTAATTGAATATCTGAGTGTGGCTGCTACACAGGGAGTGCGCCAGAGCTGTTCGGGGTTCAGTGCCTTGCTCAATGGCACCTTGGCAGTACTTTGGAAGTGACCTCACACCTCTCCAGCAACCAAACCAACTTCCATACTTTGGTCCGTACCGGGACTTGAACAGGCGACCCTCCAGTTTCCAGCAGAAGTCACTTCAGACTGAGCTTCTGCCACCCCAAAAAAACATAGTTTCTATGTCTATCACCTGGTCTGCAGGTTTTACACAAAAACCTAATTTGCTACATATTTCTCATCATCATGTATCTGATAGCTAGCACACATGCTGACTGAGAAAGCATTCCCTTTTTGCAATATTGCTCATTTTGCCATAACTATAAAATTGCCATGAATTGCACATTCCCAGTAGCATAACCTATGTTAATACGAATGTGCACAATAATGCTACAATTGCAAATATTAAACAGCAGTGGTCTTGTTTCTTCTATGATTACAGAAACAGAAAACGTACCTGTATTATACATTAATGGCTGGAGGATGATGACTAAGGTCATTTTCTTTTTTAAAGTTAAACTTTAAAAATCAGTAGGAGACATTTTTGGAAAGCTATCACCATTAATCCAAACCAGTTGTGACTCTTGCTTAATCTTATTAACATTGTATTATGATGTATGTTTAGTCTGTCATTGAAATTGCTCTAGTTATAAGTGGTGGTCCACCCTTTCCCATTAGTTAAAAAATCTGCTGTTATCCAATTGTGTCTGCTACCCATGGTTACAGAAATCAGGGTCATTGAAGTTTAATTAATTTTTCTCTACTTGTGCTGAAACACTTGACATTTACATCACAAGTACTCATGATCTCCTAATGAAACACTTACTAATTAACCAGTCACTTAATATGTTATTTTAAAAGAGTGAAGTTATGGTTGATGTAGTTGGAGCAATTTCCCTCTTATGTCCTTTCTCTCTCTTCTCTCTCCGTTGTCCCAGTCTTTTAGAGTGGCCTAAATAGCAAGGGGTGTTATTAGCATATAGAGTAGATACAGAGTCCTCCAACTCTAAGCTTTGGTCTGGTAATTAACACACAGGAAAAAAGGATCACTGTGATTTGAATAATTATTGCTCCGGCTGTCTGTGGCAAATTTGTTCCCCATTTCTCAACACAAGAGGGTAACTTTCGTATGTGTGAAAACATATGAATATGTGTTGTGAAAAAAAATAGTAGAACATGTAATTTTAGACAGATGCAGCCAGATAATCATCTTCTCTATTGGTATGTAGTGCACTAACTGAACCAAGCCAGCCACATATTTAACCTGGCATAAGCATTTGGTTTGCCCAACAACATGGTGTTATGCATCTGGGCAGCAATAATCAACAAGGCGATAAAAAGGCAAAACTTTGAGAAAACACTATATGAAATAATAAAACTGATATTTCAAATTACTTACTAAAATACTGCAATTAAACGTATATATGGCCAATTGTTAATTTAATACTAAGCTGTCTATGAGGTTACCTTTCAATTATTTAAAACAGCGTTTTGGAGGAATATGGTTTGGTGCGCTTTGGCACCCACTGAAGGTCTCTGAGTGCAACTGCACATTTAAAAATCACAATATATTTACGTAGCCAATTTTGCGTTGTAATTGCAGCTCTCACCAATCTAAAAGCCTGTCCAATATTATTTCTAGTCCTGCTTCTTGCTCACTATCTCGTCTTTTTCTCTCCTTAGCTTCGTCCGTCCTCTTCCGTCTCTAAGACTCAGCCATTGTATCCAACAGTACTGAGTTTGGCTTGCCGACTTCCTTTGAGCTGAAAGCTGGTGTATGAACTAGCGCCATAAAAGTATGCACTTCTTATGATAGCTGCAGCTCGCTGCCAAAGTTACATAGCGCTTAAAGCAGGTGACCTGGGCGCTCTGTGAAAATGGGACGGACCCCATTCTCTCTGTTGAAAGTAATTCTTCTATTAGATGGACTTTTAAACTATTATTATTTTAAAGTGGAGACGATACATATTGTTGCTTAAGGATCCCTATGTACAAAAAAACAACCCATCTGGATTTGTCTTTTCATGATTTTGTTTAGTGACTCAAATTGGACCCCCTCAAAAATGAGATGGTTCATCCCAAGGGGCTATCCATCAATAAACAGAATTTCTCACTTAAATAGCAAGGTGGACACCTCAAAATCCATGAAGTTCAACATAGTGTTATTTTAGAGGTATAGCAAGATTGTAAAAATACTAATCAACGCTGACAATCTCAGTTGATCAGCCTTAGGCCTTTCTAAAGTTTTCTTTTCTACAGGTTTTTCTCACTTCTTTTCAAACAATTGGGCCTGATTTATTAAAGGTATGTGTGTGGTAAATCGTGTATAAACTTGATATCAGTGATAAACAACAACAAACGCCGTGCTCTGAGGATTGCGTCTTTCAAATGTGCAAGACAACACAAATTTACCATTTAGGACATTTGCATTAATGAATATCCAAAATGGGGCGTTCTTATGGGACCCTAGTGTGCTTAATACTGGGAGGAGAAAATGGAAAGAAGTTAATTTAGTACACGCATTGCGGTTTACCACGCCTGGACAAAATTGCGTTGATCGTGACCGTGTCTGTATTTAACACCTTTCAAAGGTGCTAACCCAGGAACCCGGTGTTACGCACAGATGGCTGCTGTTATTGTAGTTAGGAGGAGACATAGGCACAATAAAAGAAGGCATAGAACGCCTTTTCCATACGCGTAAATATGTTTGGAATGACAGAAAAATGAATAGCATGAATTTATTTGTTATTCCCATTCAATAATCTTTAAAAAAGATTTTTGGTGTGCACAACAATGGAGTGTTGCGTCTGAGCGCCCGAGCCATGGAGGGCACAGCTTGCACCTCCTGCGTAATGTGTGACAATCCTTCTTCAAAAGATGGAAGCCCTGTCTTATGCCGAGGTTTAATTATAAGCCAAATTTTTTTTGTTCTTTGCCTCATATCTTCACCTTCTCTCTTCATCCAAACTATCCATGACATACACAAGTAAAACATGCAAAAGCATAATTTCGATACAACTGCCTCCACAAGCTTTGCACGTGATATCATTCACGCACACCAACCAAAGTACAATTAGTTGGAGTGAACATGCAATTTAGTACTCTTTACTTGGGGTCTTAGTCAATCAAGCCCTTGGAGTATTAAATGAGAGTAATATCCTATCGCCAGTCACAAATGGTCACCTCACCATAAACATTGTGCATACTTACTAACACTCTGTCTGTTTCTCCTTTCAGTGCCCAGGGGTCCTCAACCCTTCATTCGGGTCAGCCCCCCAAGAGAGGGAACAACTGCTGAGCAGGTCAAGTACCAGCCCCCAACCAGACTGGCCCCCAGGCGCAAGACTTGTGTCTTGAGCATGTCTGACCCAGCAGCCCCCAGTTTTCCTGAGAGTCTTGAATCCCCATGGATCAAAACCAATGGAACTTCCAGTTCTATACTGCCCCCCATTGGCAGCAAGAAACAGCAGGTGAGATGGTAAAAGCTATTCATGACATATATACACAGGAGGAGACAGAGAAACAGCAGTATGAAAGGGATTTACAAAAGACAGAGAATATATTAAAGGGATGAACAAGACAAAAGAAAGTAATAGATCCCATGCAACAGGTGAAAAAGAGTATTAGTTATTACAAAGTGTCATACCAATTATTAGAGCCCCCTATCAACCTCCTTCTTGTCCCAATGGATTTGGTTTTTGATGAAAGCACAGTTTCTTTAAAACTGCTTTTAAAGAAGAATGACATAATTAAAACATGGCAGACAGCTCTCTTGGGGGCTTCTGCGAGGAACAGTTTACTGTCTCTATTTCAGAGTACTTCAGCATGTGTTTGACAGTATTGCTGCTTGTTACAGTCAAATGCTCGAAACAGTCATCATCTTCATCAACTTTTATTCAAACCTGAGTATTCCCTCATTTACAATGATTTTGAGATACAAAAGTCACCATTACCAAACAACCCAATTAGTATTCCCAGTCAGTCCCTCTACGCAACCACAGATCCAGCTTGGTACAACCTAACTCATGCCGACAAAGTGTGTCCGGAACCTGGGTGTCATGATTGATGACCAGCTAACATTTAGGGTTCAAGTGGCCTCGATTCCCCAGTCGTGTCGATTTGCCCTGTACAACATAAGGAAGATCAGACCTTACCTGCCAGAACATGCTACACAGCTATCAGTACAGGCTCTTGTGATATCACGCATTCATTATTGCAACTCTCTACTGGCAGGTCTTCCTACATGCACTATCAAACCCCTGCAGATGATACAAAATGCAGCTGCACATGTCACTCAGCTGTTCATCTCCTTATACTGGCTCCCAGTTACTGCTCGTATCAAATTTAAAACTTGGCTACTCGCTTACAAAACAGCGACAAAAAGAGCTGCCGTCAATATTGTGCTTTGCTTCTGCGCATTGCCTGTCAGCACCTGTGTGTCCAATTGGACTCAAAGCTGATCGTTTGCTCTTACTGAAATGTTTTCCTTCTTTCTAGATCCTTGCTTGTGTTGTTCTTACTCTCTGATGTACGTCACTTCGGATAAAAGCGTCTGCTAAGTGAACTGTAGAACTGTAGAATTGTCGTACAATAGTCAACAATAGCACACTGAGGTGAAGTGATTGACAAATGAGAGTGGATCTATAAAATTGTAGCAAAACAGCTGAAGGCGAATTTGCCTAGTTCAGAGTGACATGTGGGACTTGAAGCATTAGACAGATGGTAGACGAGTTAGGTTGAGTCCAGTGGCCCAGTTAAGCATTGATTTTAAATAAGATGGTGAACATCCAATAAGGGATAAACAAACACAATTATATGTGCCAGAGAAAACCAAACAACTTTTTTTATACAGAATACAATGATGAGTATTATATGGCTCTCCAGTTATGAATCTAAGAGCAGAGTGATAAACTGAGTCTAGGGATTTGAGAATGTAAGCAGCAGCATGTCTGTAGATTACATCACCTAATCTAGGACTAATCTTTCACAAGTCCTCCCCTCTTCCTGCGTGTTTCACCCTGGCATCAACCTTCCTCTTGAACAAACTTATGTGTTTCCAGTAGTAGTCCATCCAGCAGTATGCTACATTGTAGAAGGGCAACTCTTGACAATATCTGGACCTGGTGTGACTGATAATTTCCAGTCATTGTGTGAAAACAGCTTTATAATGAATAGTTTGAAAGTGCTCTTGAGATTGAACAAGAGAGATAAAAACCAAAGTTGTAATTTAAATAATACTGATAAAGATTAAGATTTTGACTTATCATTGGCAAAGCATGTAGTGCTTTCATGGTCTTGGTGTCATGCATGATGGAAGAGATGAGCCATTGTTGATATTATTTGTAAAGTATGACTTGTCAATTTACTGTTTATATTAAAACCATTTATAAATGGAACTTATGAAGAAATGCAACAGTTGGACAGGGCTGGCTCAAAAGATTTTTCTCTAGCTTCAATAAGACAATTTCTCTTATCAAAGTACAATCGATCAATTATCAGAGTTTAGCTTTGCATTTGTGACTTTGTTGTGTATGTGTCCTTGTAAGTTGATGATTCTTTTACATGCATGTGTGTTTGTGTATGTTGATGATATCATGAGTAGCCATTTCACCGTTTGTGGTGTTTATGCTCTGTACCTCTTAATGGCAAAGTGCTTTTCCTATTATTAGTTTCAAGTAATGTAAAACATAAGTGAGAAGAAATGAGGCATGGATATAATTTTATTAGCTGCACTCCACACACAAAGACACACACAGACCTGTCTCCATCTGGCTAAACTTTGATGAGTTTAAAAATGGTGTTATAAAATCTTTAGATGCTGACATACATTATTTATCTATATTCAACACAGGCCTGTCCAGATCTATCCTGTCTTCTTTTGTATATCTTTTTGTGTGTGTGTGTGTGTGTGTGTGTGTGTGTGTGTGTGTGTGTGTGTGTGTGTGTGTGTGTGTGTGTGTGTGTGTGTGTGTGTGTGTGTGTGTGTGTGTGTGTGTGTGTGTGTGTGTGTGTGTGTGATTAGTGCAGGAAGTCCCCCCTTTCTTTCGCTTGCTCTCACCCCTCCCCCCACCCCTCCCTCCCTGGTGTGATAACTATCTAGTGGTGATGGATAAGGTTGAGGTGCTGGCTGTGGAAGTGGTCAGGCCAGGCCACTGATCCCGTGGCGATAGGAGCAAGGACAGGGTCCCTCCCTCCATCTCTCCCCTCTTATCCTCCCTCTTTTTTAACACCAAGCAACTGAAGGTCACCTCAAACAAAGCAACAACATTAAAGTTAATCTGCACCAAACAAAGTTAACACTCTACAAAGCAGCCAACACTGATACAAGTAACATGGTGGTGAAATTTCAAATTTATTTAACATTTTTAACTGAGAAAATTATTTTTGTCGGACTGTTGGTATTTCAAACGAAATCTAAATACATAGACTGAAAATAGCTATTTTTTAAGCACCCTTTTACCATGTACTGTATTTTGTACATCATGACAGTCTAATGAGTAAAAACATTTTATTTCATTATCAAAAAATCTAAATAAAAAGATACCATTCAGTCTGCTTGTTTTTAAAGAAATTTAAAAAATTGACTAAATTCAGAAAGTTTATATGTTTTTTTGTGAGATAAATTGCATTTACTTGTTGAGACAATACCCATTGTGTTGAATTCCTTTCCAATTTCTTTAGTGTCACTGTATGACGAGTATGCTAAAATCTTGAGGGTTTTTAAGGGGAAGTGAGGTCAGACAGGAAACAGCACAAAAATGTGGCTAAAAGCGACTTCTTTTTGTCTTTGCAACTTTGATATGTCAGTCTACATCAGAACACAGTCACTCCAGGGTAGGAGCCACAATGTCAAGATGGTTTACAAAGACTAGGATTGACAGACAGCTGTTGAAAGTGTAACTGACTTCTAAGTTTTGGTCCCAAAAAAGAGTGACACAGTTGGACATCCGTGGGATCAAAAAAAGTTTAGGGAAAATCCCAATATATACTTCATGAAACTGGATTTTGAGAACATTATAAGGACATTGAAGATAGTGATGGATTTCTTTGTCTTTTTTCAATATATGAAAAAATCCTAAGAAGAAACTAAACCTAACGACCGGATAAACCTCTGCTGGAGCTGGAATAACTTTATTTTCTTGTCAAGCGAGTATTCTGAGCTTTTGATCCTGTGATCCGGTACTGATCAAAGTATATAAATCTCTCTGGTGGCTGGAGAGGTTCATTTCCAGAGTACTGCTGAGACTCCCTTGAGCAAGGCACTAAACCCCGAAGGGCTTGCAAGCCTGCATGTCCATAGGTTCTGTTTTTGCATGTTTGTAATCCATATGTGTGTGAGAGTAGCATGTCTCTATAACGGAGTGCAAACCCAAATTTCCCCTTGGGGGACTAAAAAAGTATATATATTTAACCATCTTCCCTTTTTGTTGCTCCTCTCCCTTTCTCTGTGTATCTCACTTTAACCCTAATATACTTTGTTTTAATTATCTTCATCCTTCTCTCTCCAGTATAATTTTCTTCTCTCTCTATCTCTCTCAGCCTGTGTGTCACAAGAGGAGAGATGAAGAGGATTGGCCTCTGGTTTTAGCAGTAAGCAATCACTACCTGTGGGAGAGAGATCAGAGACAGAGAGAAGCAGGGGTTTGAAACAAAAAGATATAAAAAGATATATTGATCATTATCAACTTGCGTGTGCTGGTTGTTGTGGTTTTTCCAGGGTCTGCTCAGGGAGCCAGGGGAAGTGTGGGAGCAGCGTGTGAATTGTCCTGACCTGACACTGCGTCTGCAGACCTCTTACATCAAACTCCACAGAACTTTGTGAGAAGAAATCACAGACACAAACATGCAAAAATCAAACCGAGGATGTTCAATTTCCAAACACTGTCAGACACATTTAAACTATTCTTTACTTGACTTGGTCTTTCTTTTTTTCTTTCCTTTGCACTTTGACATTCACGTTTGGGAACACACCAAGTGTATATATAGTAGGGATGAGCATTTTCAGTAATTTCAATATTTCAGTTCTCTCATTACCTGATGAACTAGTAATCAAAGCAAATTTGAGTTTTTTGATGGTAAAAATAAAACAAAGTCAGTCACTGACCTCCTGGTGGTCTGCTATGTTTTGTACTACTCATCAGTACTGTGTTTCTGTAGAACAGCAGTCTTCAAATTCCAGTACTGAATTAAATGACAAGTAATGGTGATATATGACTCCTTGGTGGGATCTGTCTTCAAATCTGTACTAACAGCCACTTTGCAGACACATTGCAAATCAGCCCTCAACTCTGCTGCACTTTCCTCATTTATCTTTTCCGCTCTCATAGCAGTTGTTTGCAGCGACGGTGGCTTTTACTACATCTTAAAAAAGGCCATCAGGGGGCGCTGGTGGCACAGTGGTTAGTGCGCACGCCCCATGTATGGAGGCTGTAGTCCTCCAAGTGGGTGACCCGGGTTCGGTTCCGGCCTGTGGCTCCTTTCCCGCGTGTCGTTCTCCTCTCTCTCTCCCTGGTTTCTGACTCTATCCACTGTCCTATCTCTACAATAAAGGCACAAAACGCCCAAAAATAAATCTTAAAAAAAAAAAATGAAAAAAAAGACCATTAGCTTGAGGAAGCCTTCTCCTTCCACAACACTTAATGGGAGCATGTCTTCAACCACCAGTTTTGTTGTTTGCAGGCTAACTGCCTGTTGTCTGTCTCCGCTGGTTTCTCCTTGTGCTTTAGTGTAATTGGTTAAGCATCGAACTAGGATTTCTATGATGTGCAAGTTTAATTCCACATATCTTGCACTGCAAGTTATTGTGGCCTTTTTGTGTCAATGTTCTTCCAGACTTCACTTTTCCTGGTCACAGCTGACACAGAGCTTGTAGCGCTAAGTGAGTTGAACTATTGTGTTGTGCAGGTGCACGAGTAGTGAAACCTTGCTTTTATATTGACGTCAACAACCATACAGATTCCTAGCACATAGTATGCAATTAACAAATTCATATGACATTAAGTAGCAGATGGACACATCCTTATTATAAATGTATGATTGATGATCATTTTACTACTGCTTCATACTTGGTTTATTATAAACAGTCACTCCCTGCTTTATCTCAAGGCTTGTTTAAGTTTTAATTAGGAATCATTGTGCGCATGTGTCTTGGCTAAAACACTTGACTATAACCTCATTACCACTCTGAGGCTAATCTACTCTGTTGAGTGAGTGTGTTTGAAGTACTGTTATTAACCCTCTGTTTGATCTGTCTCGCTCAATAATTTCTCTCACTACAGTATAAAAGACCACCCAGTTTTACTTCCCAGTCCAACCTCCTTTTCCCCTTTGTCTCACTGCAATCAAATGACTAAATAAAGATTTGCTCTATGTCTAACCTGGTGGCTTAACAGTCTATTTTGTGTTAGTTCCTTTTTTCTGTATGCCATTCATACTTAAAATACCGTGTGATATTTTATGAAAAACGTAACTGAGCTGAACTGCAACTTTTATGACACTTACCTTTGTTGTCGTTGTTGTGTTGTTTTTCGTTCCATTTTTCATATCAGAAGATCTGGAAGTATGCTCTACCATCAGGATCTCAGCCAGCCTATGCCAAGAAATACATTTCGTAGATGACACACAGGCTCCAGGAGGAGGTATGTCTAAAACGACACACAGAAACATTAGTGTTATCATTTTAATTATAATGACTAGTACTATTTTACACTAGGTTATTGGGTGTATATAATGTGCCTAAATTAAGACGTAAATGAAGATCACCTACCTACCTAGCCATTGTGCTGTGCAGAGATGCATAACTAATGAATGCTTCCTTTACTGCCTGGTCTCCTCATACACAGAATTCATCAAAATGGAAAACCACCACTGTAAACCACTTAGTTTAGTCCTGTGTGTACACAGAATGCTGTAGTAATATACTGAATAATGAAGAAGCGGTAAACTTAAACTTGACCCATTTATTGCAAACTGTTGTCACATACAGTATATGATCAATTATAATCATCAAAGATTTAACAAGAAATGATTATACAAAACTGTAGACATTATCATCCCACCTAAAAGTTGCTTTTAGTTAGATTTTTTCCCCTTTTTATTTAGCAACTTAAACTCAAATTTGTACAAAAACGAAAGAACAAAATCAGACAAAAGAAAGTAAAATAAAAAAATAGGATACTGTATGATTTTCATATATATATTGCATACTAATGGGAGACATACTGGGACTATACTGGGATTCCTTGGGTTTTCGTCTAAACGGAAGAATTTGATTCGGAAAAAAAAGAAGAAAAAAAAAACAGAGAAGCAGTCCAGCCTAACCCTTTAAACTTGAGTTGCACAAATTTGTCAAAAGTGACAGCAATTTAATAAATCGCCGCTCTCCATCACACGCATATGCACACCCACCCACACACTTACACACAATTCCCAGTTATGCCCTCCACTGCCCCCTCTCCATGTATACGTAAATGAGGTGTATGCACTGGTGTGTGTGTGTGTGTGTGTGTGTGTGTGTGTGTGTGTGTGTGTGTGTGTGTGTGTGTGTGTGTGTGTGTGTGTGTGTGTGTGTGTGTGTGTGTGTGTGTGTGTGTGTGTGTGTGTGTGTGTGTGTGTGTGTGTGTGTGTGTGTGTGTGTAAGTCGGTTAGAGAGAGAGAAAGTGTGTGCGTGGGCCCTGCGGTCTAGTCCAGGCATTAGGTAATTGACTGTGTCTTTGCTCAAGGCCTTTCATGGATCACCGTCCTTTATTAGCTCACTTCCCAGCACACACGCACACACACACACACACACACACACACACACACACACACACACACACACACACACACACACACACACACACACAAAGTTCCCAGCAGCTCCACCCCAACCTCTTACCCCCCACCACCAGCACCCAGACCCAATTGCCCGGAAACGCGGAGTGAAACAAGAGAGAGAGTGGCAGAAGGGAAGAAGGAGAGAGAAGCGGCAGGGGAATGAACTAACACGGCCCCAGGAAGTGGAGATAAATAAGTATGGCGAGTGTGTGGGCGGGTGAATGGGGTCTCAAGCAGCTGACAATGGGTTTGGGGGAGTAAGATCAGTGTTACTCGTTGCAAATGCTGCATTTTTTATAGACAGTGTTTGTGTTTTATTTTTAAGAGCTGTTCTGAAACCAATATCATGATCAGAAAGTGCCTCTACTCCTAATATAAAAGATCTGGTATCACTTCTTACTCCTTTCTTTTTATCCTGCTATTAATAACTTTGTCTTTGTATTTTTTAAATCTTTGATTGATTTTTGTTCTTTCTTTTTTTTAACTATGACTCACGGGCAAGCTACGTGATGATAAAAGTTTTCTGTGATTATTCTCTGTGCTAAGCAACATAAATAACACAAAAATCCAGCTATTAGAATTGGAATCAGAGAGGAAAATTAATATTAGAATGACTGTATAAATATTTTCAATGTTTTAGGACACTTGCATTTGACTCTCTCAGTGTCTATCATTTTTCGTTGGTAAGGGTCGTAAAAAATTCTACCGTGTTATTACCGGTCATTTTAATTTTTCTAATGATAAAGAAACATGGCCTTAAACTGGGTGCTCGCTTGAGCATTATAAAACATATCAATGGAGATTTCAGCAGAGGTGATAGTCATGGGGTTTTGCATCTTTGACTCAGACAGTTGACTTCTCATAGTCGTTTTTGTTCTAAAGGCTGGACCCCTGCTCTGCTGCCACACTGGAGTCTGGAATTATCAGCGCTACTTCAGACAAAGTTTTATAGTCAGGAAACTTTTTTCCCGTTGAAGGGATCAGAACTACACAAGACTCTGAATGCAAGCACTGGCTTGAGCGGGTGGCAATGCTGCAGCATGTTTGAATGAATGTAGTGTGCATGTGCTTGTTGGTTATGCCTGGGATGAGCCATAAGTTTCTTCTACATTTCACTGATACCAGTTAGTTACTTGAGATCAAGTATAATGCTGCAAAATGAAAGTTTCCTTTTTGTCACTTGCCTGAACATCTAAAACACACTTCAAAATGTTCATGCATGCATTGAGACTAAACTTGACCTCCTTTTCTCTGTGATGATGACGGAGACTGTGCTTGCTCTCAGCCCAATCATGTCATTCTGCTGTCACTCAGAACTCATCAGACCTCACGTTCCCCCCTCTCATCTCCTCTCTCTGTCTGATGCTCTATTTCTCTGTTTCTCTCTCCACTTCTATTTACTCTCTCTCCTCTCTCATTCTGTGGTAATTAGTGCATTAGTCCTATCGTTGGCATCACCCCCAGCTACAGCAGCAGCCAGCAGAGCTTCTTGTCACAGCTCAGAGGGCCAATGGAGTGGACAGCTCAACCCTGGTACTCATCATCTTCATACCGTGCCCAGTCTGCCTCCCCCCAGCCACATTATCTAGCTATGTTATCCAGCCATGTTCCTAATTATTTCCTAACCCCAGCCACAGCCCTCTCACCCAGCCTCTGCCACATTACCTAGCCCTGTTTGTAATCATCTCCCTAAGCCTTGCTTCAGCCCCCTACACAGCCTGGAGCTTCATCATTAACATATCCCAGTTTTTCTTTTCTGAGTTCCAGACCCCAACTCTCTGGCTTGACCATCACAGCTCTTGGCAGAATGCACCAAGCATCGTCTCGTCAAAACCAAGTCCTAGAAATAGAAAATGTCTCCTGGACTTTTATTTACCTAAGCCATCTGTGTCACAGCAAGAAACTCTATCAGTGCAAATGTGACCCAGCCTGTCAGGACACACACATAGTCACATGCATGCCAGTCTTCACCTCTCCATGAACTCAATGGCCTTAGCTTAGGCCAGCGAGGGGCTGTGTGATGGTCGCACTTTCCACGTCAATGTCTACATGGACCCTCAATACACTGATTCAGTTAAGATGTGCATATACATATAAATCAAGCATTTAATCAGAGGAAAGCCATTTAGAAATGCACAGAGTTATCCCACTGGTGTTATCTGCTAGCAAATGCAGGAGAAGCTCTTCCTTCTGCTTGTGTTGTAAACAAATATTGCTGTCGCCTCCAGATACTGCTCCTCCCCTCTCCCCCTCGCTATGTGCCAGGCTTTCATTCTCCCTCTCTCTCGCACCAGAATTAAGGCTTTGTTTAACTTTTCATTAACCGGCTTCTAGCCTTTCGACCAACAAGACGTCCATCAATCCCATCCTGAGTTCTTTTAAAATATCCAGCAAAAAAGTTTTATCGGCTAGAACAGTTTTTTATTTTTGTAACTATTTCAACAATAGCAAAAACAGAAACCTACTCCAACCAGGAAGAAACAATCCGATGAAGTGTTTACATGAATATTGTCCTGAATAACATAATACCCCAGTCATATGAGCACATTGATGCTGGTTTATCTCGCATTTACTAAATCTTTGAACATGAATCATCTGAACTCCTCCAAACCAGGCTGTACTGTAGGCGTCACATTACATAGGTAATGTGTCATTAGCTACTTTTAAAATATTGACATTAGCCCACTAGTCTTAAAAAGTAATTTACTGAGACTTAGAATCAGACATTTTTAAGCAAAAATTACAGAAAAGTATTTAATAAAATGGACAATACCGACCAGAAATAAACCTTTTTTAGCAGTAAAAACAGATATTATGAAGGATGATGAATGCTCAAAATACTGCTTCTTATTAACTGTCTGTGGTTTTGAATTTTGTTAAGCTATTCCTTTAAATGATACTCAAAAGCTTATAGTGAGGTAATCAGGCGTCTTTATCACAGATTTTTATTATTTACCATGAAAAAGACATAAATTGTCTGTTCTTCTCTAAGCTGGAAAATTGAATACAGCTAGCAGGTAATGTCTTCTGTAGAGCAGATTTCTCAATGGTTAGGAGCTTGTGAACCAGCTGAATGCACCAACAACAACTAATTTCATATGCAGTTATGGGAAAGCCCCCTCTGTCCATGCTAAGTTTGGTTATATTATAGGCGTTGTCACCGGCGGTACTGCCTGTAACCATAGAGACAAGCTAATTAGGAGGCTACGTGCTAATCAAGATCACTACAGTGAGTGGTCACGTCTGTGTCTCTCTGCGCTCCAAGCTTTTCCTTCCCCTTGCATTAGACTGACACCCGTCACAACTTTCAAAAGCTAGTGTCTGATCAGATCCAACACACAATGATACACAACAGAACACATGGGTTCTCAGACATGTATGTTTTCCTGAACATGGAGAGAGAGACAGCGATACAATCATTAACACATTCCCATACACGACCGTAGCACAACTGTCTAAATGTTGCCTGAGAATCTTCCTTGTTTATGTCTCTCACCACCACACACTCATCCCTACGTCTTTCTACCTCCATAGAGACACTAGTCTCCAACTTCTTCTATAGTGTGGCTTTGTTATTGTCATTACTGAATTGTGGATGCAAAGCTCCAGGCAACATGGACAAGAAAAGTGTATCAACACACACACACGCTGGCTCATTTTAATAGCCCTAGCCATAATGTATCAACAAGATGTATGCAACGGTTGTATGAAGGATATTTTTAATGGTAAAAGTATTCATACTGTGAGCAGTTAATAGCTAAACTGTAAAAGGACACAAGTAGAGACAATGAGTGGGGCAGACACCAAACACATGAAGTCCCCT